CAACCTGCGGGCACAATCACAGCAGAGTTTCTGGACCCTGGTGCTGGTCCCCCCTGGCACCTCCAGGGTCCCAGGGTGACACTGTGCGGAGGCCCTAAGGGGAGGCTGCGCTGTGCCCGGTTTGCAAGCATCTCGTTCCGTCTGGATCACATAGTCAAACGCATTTCCCCTTTGCCCAGCACAGCCGAACTCTGACCGTTGCCTGGACAAAACCAGACCAAAAATCTTCTGCAGTTTCCCCTCACGCTCAGAAATCCCAGAGCCCCGTGACCCCAGAGCCTGCTGCATGTGACCCGAGCGAGGGCAGGGCTGCGTGCAGGCACGGAGTGGATTTATTTATTCCCTGTAGGCCTAAATGTAGTTTCTGTTCCTGTTGTGAAGGAGTGCTAAGGCATGCAAAGCTCTGCTTGGACAGGGAATTTCTCCCCCTGGTTACCAACATAACAGTGAAACGGGTTCTCTGTGGGCAGCACAAAGTCTCTTCCCCCTGACAGAGACTCAAAGCATCACTGTGACACAGAGCTGACCTCCTCCGGCCAGCACCACTGCCCCGACCTCTGGGGAGCTGTTTTCCATGCGGAATGGGGCCCTTTCTTAGCTACCTCTGCATATGCACATGCAGCCCATCCCCTCCAGCTCCCCCTGGAGCAAAAATTCCTTCAGCAAAACCGCTTAAAATTTGCCCCAACAATTTCGTTTTTTCTGTTGTGACAGAGTAATATCTAAGATGTGCACGGGGATTTCTGAGTGCTTAAAAAAAAACCCAAACAAACAAACCCACAACATTTTGAGCATGTTGCGACATGAAAGGTGTATTATTCCCCTCAAGCATAATTCATGCCTAGCAGTATTTAATGTCAAGAGTGCACAGTGGGGCCAGAAATACTCAATTTGTGACAGGGGGGTGCAAACCTGCCCTGGTGCTGCCACGTTTAACCCTCCAGTGAAACTGCCTCCTGGTAAAAGTGTAATGTCTGGCTCCTCTTTCCCTTCAGCCAGGATTTTATTCTCTTCTGTCTTTAAAACACGCTCATGGGAAGGTACTGCAGAGTGGATGGTTTCAGCCTTTCTGATGTTGGCTGCTTTAGCAGAGACACAGCATAAAGAGGAGGGGAGCTCTCCAACATACAGTACAAGTAGGAACAGACACAGCTCGGCTGATTCAGAGATTTCTTATTTTCTAGCTCTTTATAGGTCCTTAAGCACCATTGCCCTCCTCCCCCACTGCTGGAAATCTTCTCCCTGTGTAGATGGGAAAATAACCACACAAAACTCTGCAGAGAGCAGGACAAAAAATACAGCACGGAAGTCTTCCTTCCCCATTTTTTACTTTCACCATCTTCTGACTGGTGTCCCAAAAATAGCCAAAATTCCACTTTTTATGTGAAACCTCACTGCCAGGAACTAGGCATTAGTTTTGCAACACTGAACTTTCTTGCAAAATATCCTGCGCATCCTTGTCCAGCCTCGAGGTTACCTCCGAAAATGCTCTCTCAAATATCTCGGTGTTTCTGGCAGAGTGGAGCCTGGAGAAGCAGCCAGGAGGAGAAGCTTCCCCAGGAGAGCAAATCCACTTCTTCCTCATGAGAAGGAAAATCCAAGCCTCTGACAGACCATTAATCTGCAAGAGTGTTTTGAGGACTTACTACAGCAGCCTGAGAACTTTCAGCTGATGCAATAGAGAATATTTACACAATTTCAGGCCAGTGATACAGAGGGAATGTGCTGTGGAGGGGGCTGCTGTATTGCAAAATATGCAGATGGAGAAAGGGAGCAAGTCAGCGAGAGGGTGGGGACATCACAGCGGCAAGTTCTGCTGGTGAGTTCCTTCTGTGCAGTAAGTTTTGCTCTGAGAAGGCTGCTGAGCACACCGTGGAATAGGGGATCTAATGACTAATCCTGAGCTTTCCCATGTCAAAATAGAAATTTAATTTTGTTCGCACAAAAATACACTTTCCAGTGCACGTGGATGGGGAGACATCTGGAGGAAAGAGCAGGTGAGTCCTTCTGTATGTGTGGGTTCTGCTCCCGCCCTCACTGTACGGAAATCCCTGCCATTGCTGGGGCACGGTCCTAAGAAAGACGAGGTTTGGAGGAGAGGTGAGTCTGCATTTCCATACCCGTGGTTCAGCATGGGTCTCCTCAGGTCACCATAGCACACAGGAATCCCGGTTTGGTGATTCCAGAGGCGTGGCGTGATGGGTTTCGCTTCACTCGAGATGGGAGCTCTGCATGTCAAAGTAAGGTGGCACTTCACCTTGCCAAGGTGCCTTGGGTTGTTCGGTGAAGAGCGATTTGGGAGTAAGAAAGAGAAACTCTGGGGTTTGAAACTTTCTTTGGTTGTTCTGCTTTTAGAAGTGATTGTCTTCGGTGGCAATGCGTTCTGCTGCAGGAAGCTGCATCGCATCCCCGCTGCCTGGAGGCTAGGCAGTGATATCCCAATCTCATAAAAGGGCTGAGGGAAGACACGGGGAACTACAGACCTCTGAGTCTAACCTCAGTTCCTGCAAAAATGATGTAGATTATACCCATTACTATTGAAAGACATTTAAATAACAACGCAATCATCAGAGACGGTCAACAGGGGTTCACAAAGGGAAAGTCCCTTTAACTAATCTGATATCCTGCCATGATAAGGTCACCCACCCACTGGATAAAGTGGTGGATGTAGTTTTGCTGGATTTTAGGAAAGCTTTCAGTACTGTTCCTCACAGCATTCTTCTGGACAAGTTTTCCAAATGTGGGGTGAGGAGGTTCACAGGCCCTGGGTGAAGAACGGCTGCAGGGCAGAGCTCAAAGGCTTGTAGTGAACGGGGATACATCTGGCTGGTGACCAGTCACCAGCAGTGCTCCACAGGGTGCAATTCTAGGGCCGCTCCTGACGGATATATTTATCAGCTATCTGGATGCAGGAGTTGAATGTGCCATTAGCGAGTTTGCCGGTGATACCAAACTGGGAGGTGCTGTTGACTGTCTTGAGGGACAAAAGGCCTTGCAGAGGGATTTAGATAGACCGGAGCACTGAACAATGATAGTGGGATGAAATCTATCAAGATCAAATGACAGATTCTGAACCTAGGATGGAGTAATGCTGGGCACAAGTCTAAACTGGGAGAGGAGTGGCTGGAGGAGCCCTGCAGCAAGGGCTCTGGGGGTGCTGGTGGGCAGCGGCTCCACAGGAGCCAGCCGTGTGTCCTGGCAGCCAAGAGGGCAAACCACGAACACAACGTGACCAGCCAGGCAAGAGAGGGGATTGTCCTGCTCTATTCAGTGTTGGTGCAGCATCGCCAGGGTGCTGTGTGCAGTTCTGGGCCCCACAATTTAGGAAAGATGTGAAGGTTCTTGAATGTGTCCAGAGGAGGGCAACCAAGCCGGAGACGGGGCTGGAATGAATGTCCTGTGAGAAACAGCTGAGGACCTGGGCCTTGGCTTGTTTGGAGACAAGGAGGCCGAGGGGAGAACCCATTGCTCTCTGCAGCTTCCTGAGGGGACGTGAAGAGAGAGGTGCTGACCTCTTCTTCCTGGGATTTAGCGATAGGATGCATGGGAATGGTCAAAGCTGCACCGGGGGAGGTTCAGGTTTGACATCAGGAAGCGTTTCTGTACCAAGGGGGTGGTCAAACACTGAAAGAGGCTTCCTAGAGAGGTGGTCGATGCCCCAGGCCTGTCAGGATTTAAGAGGCATTTGGACGATGCCCTTAATACCATGCTTTAACTTTGCCAGCCCTTGACCGGTCAGGCCATTGGACTGGACGATTGTTGTGGGTCCCTTCCAACTGAAAGAGCCTGTTCTGTTCTATCCCTGCGGACTGTGCAGGCAATTACTTTTCCCATCATAAGGACAGTAAGCTCTGGGACAGACTTCTGGAAATCCCACAGACAGAAGATAAAATGGACCACAAAGGGGATAATTCAGTCAATCTGTGATAGAAAAGGGTGAGATCTGAGAGCTGTCCTGTACTGGGCAGTGATGCCCGTAACTGGCAAGACAGGAGGATACAAAATGTGAGAGAATCCTGGCTCATTGGAACCTGACAGCTAATAATTTTACTTGCCCAAACCCGTATCTAGGTGTTTTGCCAATTATTAGGCCTGGCCTAAAGGACACAGCCAGCACGAAGATGAACCAATAACCAGATTGTATTTGATACAAAGGGTCAGTCCATGGTGAGCGCTGGGGGTACAGACAAGTCAGTCAGATTGTACATAATGGACATCAACCCCACTGACCCCAACAGCGACACCGCACGACCAGCAGCGGGTGCAATAAATGGTGACATGCAGTCTCCCATGGAAGGGACGGGAGACAACCGGGTCAACAAGCCAAACACTTCAGACCAAGGAAGCCCCAGACTGGATCTCCCACAGCCCGCGTTTACAAAAGCCAGACCTGCCCGGAGCCCAGTCCCGGGGAGGCGGGAGGTCCTTCCCCAGCAGGGAACTCTGCCCAGGGCGTCCCCCTCACACAGACCCTGCCCCTCCTGCCAGGGGTCCCCGCTGTTATCCCTCGGGGGACACCCGACCTTGGGTTACTGACTGCGGGACCCCCGGGGCTCCTTTACCCAACGCTCTGTCTGCCAGGCCCCACCCTGGGGGGAGCCGAAAGGGAAACTCCCCCCTTTGGGAAGGGCTGAGGGATCACCCTGATGTCAGCCTGAATTTGGGGTGGGGGCTGGAACCCCGGCAGTTCACTAGGAGGTTACTACATAAATAATACAAGTCCATTCTGGGGCACAGGGGATTGAATCCAGAGTTTCTTGACGTACCGTGGAGTTCAAGAGGCACAGAGTCAGCGAACGGAAGGACTCATCCCCCC